GCAACACTTTGATAGTAAACCTTACAGTATCAAATGGTTATCAGTTTGGCGTACTTAATGAGCCATCAGATAAGTTTCCAGCAGTATCAGAAGTATAGTGTCGTTACCAAGAACGTATTTCTGCCACATTCAACATTAAAAGCAGTAGTAATTGCATTTTCACCCTGGGTGGTCTGCTATCGTTTATGTGAAGACAAGACTTCAAAAATGGGGAGACGCCAGGAAGTTTACGGCACTACAGATTCATATTAATCTTGGTCTAACGTTTAGAAACCCTGTTTGAAGATAACACATGCCAAGATTCAAGTAAATCTTGATTTTAATGAGTCGTTTCAGTATTTTACTGGCGCTGGCGTCAATGCGACTTGACAGAAGATGGCTTTTCGAGGACGTCGACCGTCACCAAAGCAACAAAGAGAGTTGGATGCAAAAATGCATCAAACATTACGATCATTGATGCTTCCACATTATGAGCGTGAAGAATCGGCTCGCAGGTGGATATTATATCTGATGTCACATGTTGAAAAATACGTTTTTCTTTTCAGGTCAGCCTTTTTGGAAGCGCAACGTATCTTGGCGTAAGTACTACATAGATCTCTGATATATGAATAGGAAAAAATCAGTGTTTTTTAGAGGAAAAGAGAATCACAGCCAAAACCACTATATAGTGCCAAAGGAGGAAGTGGTATCAGAAGATGACTTGGACTTAGAATGTGATCTCGAACTCGAACCGCGAAAAGAGCATATGGATAACGAGCCGCTTCCATCCTCTTCGCAAACGAAACCATCTCCGTATAGGAGAGCCCAGGATCGAACAAGAGTGAGCCGAAGTGCAAAAATTGCCCCTGTTTTGTTGGTAACTAAGAAAATTCTTTTACTATTAAGAAATTGGTTGCTGCCTAGATTCTCAGGTAGCTAATGTATCACATGCAGTACTACACAGATGCATTAGCACCTAAGTTTCAGATTATCAATGCTAGCACTTTTTCGTTTGGGCTTTTGGTATAACCGTGCAGCTCTTTCTAGCGCAAATATGCCCAAAAACGAAATGAGGTGATGCACCGTTAAATTTTGTTTTAGCGGACGATTAGGATGCAAGGATATTAAAATGGAACGTTAGCTAGACAATACTAATCGTTATCTGCACTTTTTTATTTATTTAACTGCTTGGGTAGTATTGCTCACTCAATGAGCAGGGAGCTAACTATGTAGGTAACATGCCTTCAATTGCATTTTTGGCATTTTCTATGAATAGGGCTTTAAAAGTTGATTTTAATCTGGCATCATTATCTGCTACATGCTTCTTTGAAAAAAGGTGTGAACATATTATTTCTCCACCAAAATTGAGGTGCAAGTTCTGTGAACATTGTGCA